GAAATTTGACAATTTTAGAATTTAACAATTTTTCCTTTTGAATTCGACAATTTTTTTTTTTAAATTTATTCTCGAATTAAGTTTTAATTTGACAAATTTTCCTTATGTTTAATTAGCATATCCATTCGAAGGATTAAATACAGTATGTTTTAAATCTTTTAACATTTGATGTTTATCGATATTGATAATGAATATTTATCAGCGGTGATTACAAATTTGCATTAGCAATTTCTCTTTTTTATAGCTAAAAATTTCTTTTACAATAATTTTAATTGCAACATATTTCACATATAAAATTAACCAAAATTGTTTATTATTTTTTACAAATACATCTTAGATATATACTAATGGAATAATGAAAATTAATTTAAGCAATGCTAAATTTGCATAATTTATTGTTATGAATGATTTATGAATTTATTGATGGAAATTATCACATATCCTTGAGATTAGATATTGAAAAGGATGAATGTAATTTTTATAGGCTTATAAGGCTTATAAATCATAATATTAATGAATCCCAATGATATGCATTAGTCATAATAAGCATCTGCTAATCCATTGCAAGCTAGGATTCTCAATTAGGCTAAGCTATGTAAAAATTATTAGCTTTAAAAATAATATTTAAATTAAAAATAAATTAAGGAATATTTAAGAGAATGTATTGGAGAAGAAGGATGCTATTGTTAAGGTATAGTTGTTGATGGATGAAATGAAGGAATGGAATATTTGACATTTTCTTTTTTTTTTTTTTTCCTCCATCCTTTCGTCATTATCATTAACTTTAATGATTTCTTGTTGTATGTTAATTTAATAAAAATTCCACAAATAATATATCACACCCTTTTATCAATATTAATTTCACTATTCAAATATTAATGGTGCAGAAAAAAAATGATTACAATGATAACAAAATGTAAAAATAAAAGTACTTATCATTCTTATCACTTATCATTCAAAAATACATATCATTTAAGTAATATGATAAAAGAGAAGTGTGATTGAATTCTAAATGATAAATGTAGAAATGTAATGAAACTATATGATTAAATGAGCAATTTATTTGTAATTTTATTAATTTCATCACTTTAATTTTGCCAATTATTCCTCTCTCCCTCTCTTTATCATTTTAATTTTATCATTTATTTATCATTCGTTTATGATTAGTAACTTTTACACACGAATATTAGCAATAATGGATATTAGCAAGTAGGAAAATTTGGTAAAAATTAAATTAAATTAAGAAATAATTAAGAATTTTCGAAAATTTCTAACATTATAAATATTCAAAGATGTGCATATGACAAATAATTGTATTTAAATTTTTTTTTTTTTATAAACTAATTGAAATTTTGGCACATTTTTTACTAATTATATAATTATACATTATAATAAAAGTGCTAAATTTCATGCCAACAAATACAATAGCAATTATTGAATGGTAATTATTTACTTAAAATCATCAAGATAATTGAATAAATTAATTCATATCATAAAAACAATCAAAAATTCATAATTACATTGGTAAGAGTATGCGACAGGAAAGGATATTCATTGGAAATAAAAATTGAAAATGATTGAAAACATCACTAAAATATCAAACATATTTCAATCTAATATACTACCTGCATTTACTAATTAATTATGCCTTTGAAGGAATATTTTATCAGAATAAGAAAAAAATCTCGAAAATTGTTCAAATATAAAACAATATCTATTACATGTTGAATTAACGTAATTTAAACGTCGGTTAGAAAAAAAGAAAATTTTTTTTGTAAAATAAGCAATTCAGAAACGGAAAAAAAAAGTTACGTTTGTTAAACTTTAATAAAAACCGGAAATAATTTTGAAAATTTCATTTGATTACTGAACATATATTTTTACTGATGGAATTGTGAAATGGGAAAATTTCATCAATGAAAGAGTTATATGTGTAAATTGAATTATTTTAGCTAAAGCAATAAATGTAAGAAAAAATTTCAAAACCGTAATTTGCTATTCACCAAATCAAACCAACTTCTTTTGCCATCTTAAACTATCCATTGTTTTAATACCATTATTTTCTTGGATAAATTTCATAATCTGAAATTTCACTTTAAATTAATAATTGATAAAATAATTGCTTATCCAAATTCTGTGCTCTTATGGTGATAATTAGTTAAACTAATGAAATAATATGAAATTGAACCGAATAAAATATGCATGATTTCCGGTTAATTAATTTTATACTATTCATTAGTATAATTTATTCGTTATTTTACACCTATCCACTTCTAGGTTCTAACAATGATAATTATCACTGGAATAAATGAGTTAAAAAAAAAAAGAAAAGAAAAAACTTAAATTACTCATTGATAAAAATTTAAATACTTCATCATAATGAAAATCAATTGCTTAAATTTCAATCGTAATCATTTTTAATTTTAATATGAACATGAATTATTGTTGGATGATAATGTAATTTTTATTCGGATTAATTAATCAAATAGTTTAGATAATAATATTATTCCATTTCGTTTAATTAATCAGAAGTTTAGGTAATAAATGGTATGATTTAACATTTTGGCTTCGATAATTTAATCATTTAAATAAAAATTATAAAATGAAATTTAAATTGTTATTACTGTATTGAAAATACTCGTGACTTTCATATTACAATTGTAATGTCATAGCCAAAAACAAACACTTCAAATAAATCAATTATTTACTAAAAATAAGTATTTAACCATTGTTTATTTTGTCATTCCTATGTTTACTCTAACTTTTATTGACTTTTAATTCGTTCCTTTAACTAACTATTTTATTTACTGAAACATAACTCTATGTATTTTTAATCTTTTATTTGTAAAGAAAAAAAAAAAAAATGATGACAATTTTATTTTTGCATTAATTCATTTTCTTAAATGCAAAAAAAAAAAAAAGGAAAAGTTTAATAGTAATTGAGTATATATACAATCAGGCTAAATTATAATAAAATAATAATAACGATTATTTTAGCTTTTAAGCATAGTTTTAATTAATAAATAACATTGGTTAATCAATTATAAGCTTGTTAAAATTTATATAAGTTTATTATTAATTCAATAATTTTCAATATTTTATCACTGTTTGATAAGCTTTATTTATCCTATAAAATTATTTCTCATAATTTTTTATCAATTGAAGATAATATTCAAAGTTATCATTTTTATTTTTTACCTTTCTCCTTTTTCATTACTATCATTTTTTATCACTATTATCATTATTACTTTCACTATCTTATATTATCCTTATCATTTCCAAATTCCATATGCTACTTTTCCTTAAATTCAATTTATCCTTTTTTTTTCTCATACATGCTACTTTGTAAGTAAACAATTCTTTAAATTGACAAAGAGGAAAAATTGAAAATTCGAATTATTTCTTTTGAAAATTCGGATTACTTATCTTCTAATTACCTTATTCAATTGAAATTGATTAGAATATTTATTGAAACTAAAAAAACGGTGCGAAAAAAAAGAGGAAAAATCACATTACGGTACCATTTATTACAAATCATTTTGACAATGATAATTATACCGTAATAATTGAATTGATATTTAAATTATAAAAATTTACATTTTTATATTCGGATTACTTATCTTCTAATTACTTTATTCAATTGAAATTGATTAGAATATTTATTGAAACTAAGAAA